AAAAATTTCCTTCAAAATTGACAGAGAGGTCTGGGGATTTAGCTCAGTGGTTCCGCCTGCCTCGCAAGCGCGAGGACCCGAGTTTGATCTCAAGTACAAAAAAAAAAAAAAAAAAAATTGACAGAGAAATAAAGTATTTCCATGACCTCAAGAAATTCATGACCACTAAACAGCATTACAAAAATTCTTAAGGATATTCTAGAAAGAGACAATGAAGCCAAAAATGCCAACAAGTAAAAAGGAATGAATGCACTGTGTGGGATGAGCAGCCAAGTAAAAGGACAAGAAAGAAAAAAAAAAGGAAATCAACAGGAAAATAATGAATGACAGGAATAAGTCAATAACTCTCAATGTGAGTGGTTTCAATTTCCCAATCAAAAGACACAGATTGGCAGAAAGGATCAAGAAACAAAATCTGGGGCCAGGGATTTAGCTCAGTGGCGCTGCACCTGCTTCAAAAGTGCAAGGTCTTGAGGTCCTGAGTTCAATCCTCAGTATCACACACACGCAAAAAAAAAACACTACAAAGAAACAAACAGAATAAAGGCATAATTCTTATTTTAAAAAAAAGAAAGAAACAAAATCTGCCTGGCTTGGTGGCACATTCCTGTAATTCTAGCACTCCAGAGGCTGAGGTAGGAGGATTACTGTGAATTTGAGGCCAGCCGGAGCTACACAGTGAGTTCAAGTCCAGCCTGGACTATACAGCGATACCTTGTCTCAACAAACAAACAAACACACAACCCAATGATATACAGTACACCAGAAACACATTCAATTAAAAAAATAAACTCACAGATTAAAAATCAAAGACTAAGAGTTCAATCCCTGGTATCAAAAAAAAAAAAAAAAAAGACTAGAAAACAAAATTACATGCAATGAGAAAAAAGCCTAAGCAGCTATCCTAATTTCAGACAAAGTGGGTTTTAAACCAAGACTAATCAGAAGAGACAAAGTCATTACATATTGGTTAAGGGAACAATTCTACAGGATGACATTACAGTTATAAACATATATACAGCAAATGTCAGCACACCCAACTTCATAAAACAGACACTAATGGACATGAAAAATCAAACAAACATTGATACAATTGTAATGGGGAACCTCAATACTCTTCTATCACAAATGGTCAGATCAATTAGACAAAAAAATCAACAAAGAAATATCAGAGTTGAACCCAACCACAAATGGACTTAATAGGTATTCACGGAATGTTCCATCCAAAAGGAACAGAATACACATTCTTCTCAGCAGCATATGGAACTTTCTCCAAGATAGACCACATTCTAGCCCATAAAGCATGCTTAAGTAAATGCAAAAGAATTGAAATTATCCCATGCATATTATCAGATCATAGTGGAATGAAACTAGAATCAATGGCAAAAGACACCACAGAAACTTTGTAAACACATGGAAATTAAACAATACACTCTTGAATAATCAGTGGGCCACAGATGGAATTAAAGAAGAAATTAGACAGTTCCTACAATGAAATGATAATGCCAGTACAACATTCCCAAAGCTGTGGGACACAAAGCAGTTCTAAGAGGGAAGTTTATAGTAGTGAATTCTTACATCAGGAAAACAGAGCAAGTTTCAAATAAATAACCTAATGATGTACCTCAAGGTCCTAGAAAAACAAGAACAATCTAAATCCAAATCTAGTACAAGGAAGGAAATTATAAAGATCAGAGCATAAATCAACGAAATTGAGACAAAAAATACAAAGAATTAATGAATTCAAGAGTTGGTTCTTTGAAAGAGTAAACAAAATAGATAAATCTTTAGTAACCTTACCAAAATAAGGAAAGAAAAGATCCAAATCCATGCAATTAGAAATGAAAAAGGTGAGGGCTGGGGATTTAGCTCAGTGGTTTCGCCAACTGCTGCACAAGGGCAAGGACCCGAGTTCAATCCCCGGTCCCCCCCCCCCAGCCAAAAAAGGAAAGAAATAAAAAAGGTGAAATTACAAAGGATTCTGCTGAAATCCAGAAAATCATTGGTAACTACTTTGAGAAACTATAGTCCAATAAAATAAAAAATTCAGAAGAAATGAACAGAAATGAACTACCAAAGCTGAACCAAGAAGATATTAAAAGTCCTGAATAATCCAGTATCAAAGAAACAGAAGAAACAACAACCCCCCCATACCAATTCAGAAAAGCCCAGATCCTGACAGATTTACTGCTGAATTCTAGAACAACTTTAGAGATCTAACACTAATATTCCTCAAACTCTTAAATGAAATCAAAAGGAAAGCTGTATTCCCAAAGTCACAGATGAAGCAAGACATACTCAGATTCTATTTTTTTTTTTTTGGTACCAGGGATTGAACTCAGGTCCTTGTGCTTGCGCAGCAGGCAGCAAAACCACTGAGCTAAATCCCTGGCCCCATACTCAGATTCTAAAACCAAGAAGGACCCAAACAAAAAAAGAGAACTACCGGCCAATGTCTTTAATAACTATAGATGCAAAAATTCTCAATAAGATACTGGCAAGCAGAATGCAGCATATTATCAAAAAGATCATGTAGCATACCAAGCCATAAGATTGATTTAGAGATGCAGGGATGATTCACTGTATGAAAATCAATAAATATAATACACCACATAAACAGAAGCAAGGACAAAAAAAATCACATGATCATCTCAATAGACACAGAAAAAGCATTTGACAAAATCCAACATCCATTCGTGATTAAAAAAACCCTGAAGAAAATAGGTATAAAAGATCTCAATCTGATAAAAGCCATCTATGATAAACCAATGGCCAACATTATACTACATGGAAAGAAGCTGAAAGCTTTCCCTCTAAAATCAGGAAGAAGACAAAGATATCTGCTATTACCACTCCTGTTCAATATAATTCTCAAAACATTAGCTAAAAAAAACCCAAACAAAAAAACAAAACAAAACAAAATTAGCTAAAGCAATTAGACAAGAAAAAGAAATAAAAGGGCTATGGATAAGAAAGGAAGAAGTTAAATTACCATTATTTGCAGCTGACACAATGCTCTACATAGAATACACCAAAAACCCCACCAAAAGACTCCTAGAATCAACAACCAAATTCAGTAGCTAGCAGGATACAAGGTCAACACTCAAAAATCAATAGTGTTCCTGTATACCAATAACAAACTTATTGAAATTAAGGAAACAATGCCTTTCACAATGGTATTTGTAAAAAAAAAAAAAAAAAAAAGATACTTGGCCAGGAATTTAGCTCAGTGGTTCTGCCACCTGCCTTGCAAGTGCAAAGGTCCTGAGTTTGATACCCGGTACCAAAAAAACCCAGGTACTTGGGAATTAACCTAACCAACAAAGTGAAAGACCTCTATAATAAAAATTACAGTACTCTGAAAAAGGAGATGAAAGAGAATATCAGAAAATGGAAAGATATCCCCTGTTCCTGGATAGGCAAAACCAATATAGTCAAAATGGCCATACTTCCAAAATTGTTTTACAGATTTAACACAATCCAAATCAAAATACCAATGGCATTCCTCACAAAACTGGAAAAAGCAATCCTAAAATTCATATGGAACCAGAAAAGACTTAGAATAGCAAAAGGAATTCTGGGTAACCGGCAAAGCCGGGGCATCACATTCCCAGACTTCAAGTTACACTACATAGCTACAGTGATAAAAAAAAAAAAAACCAGCCTGGTATTGGCAAAATAAAC